CCAATATAAATTAGCTTTTACCTCCATACATGGATTAATGACTTTCACTAGGCTTCCACAGGGATTTAAAAACAGTAGTGCTATATTTCAAAGAATATTAAATGAATCATTCTCACCTTTATTATATAAATCATTAATCATATATATAGATGACTTAGCCTCATATGGAAAGAATTTTAAGCAATCTTTAGAAAATTTAAAAAATGCCTTTATAATTATGGACAAAATGAACTTTTCCCTAAAAACAAACAAATGTCTTTTCTTTAATGATAAAATCGAACTACTAGGACATAATATTTCAATAAACGGGATAACCCCGCTAAACAGAAACATTAAAGCTATCACAGAATTTAAACAACCAGAAACACAAAAAGACATTCGATCTTTTATAGGAATGTGTTCATATTATAGAAAACACATTAAAGATTTTGCAAAAATATCACATCCACTTACCGAATTAATAAAGGGTGATATAAAACTAATGAAATGGGAAAAAGAACAAAAACAATCATTTAGCCTATTAAAGGAACTTTTAACTTCTGAACCACTATTAAAACACTTTGATGATGACAAAGAGGTATTTTTAACTATAGACGCCTCAATTACAGGCCTAGGAGCCTGCCTAGAACAGCCAAACAATAACAATATTTTACACCCAATAGGATACGCATCCAGAAAATTATTAAATAACGAAAAGACATATTCTTCAACTACCTTAGAATTATTGGGGCTAGTCTTTGGAATTACATATTTTCGAGAATACTTATGGGGACGACAATTTATTGTATTTTGCGATAATATTAGTCTCCAATATTACAAAACTTTAAAAATACCATCAGCTAGAATAGCTAGATTAACTCTAAAATTATTAGATTTCACATTCAAAATATTATATAAAAAGGGCAAAGAAAATAAAGTAGCAGATGCCCTATCTAGAAATGCCATTAACTTAATTATAAATGACAATGAAACGGAAAGTGATAATCTAGATAAATATGATATAAAAACATTACAGTCCAAAGACCAATTTTGCACTGACATAATAAAAGCCATTAATGATAAAGACGATAAAGACAACAATATAAATAAAAACATTAAAAGAAAATCACGACAATTTGTAACAATTAACGATATATTATTTCATAAACATTTCACACCTCCTAACAAAATAACTAATTTACTAGTTGTACCAAAAATATTAACCAATGAAGTACTTAAATCTTATCATGAATCACCTATCGGCGGTCATACTGGGATTTCACGTACAATTCATAAACTACAAAACAAATATTATTGGACAACATTATCAAAAGACACAACTCAATTCATAAAAACGTGTCATAAATGTCAAATAAATAAAAAATTACCTGGAAAACCAATAGGTCAACTTCAACCAATTCCAATAACAAACAAACCTATGGACAGATTAGTCTTTGACTATCTAGGACCATTAATTTCTAGTAATAAAAAGAAATACGTATTAGTAGCTGCTTGTAGCAATACTAAATACATATTTACTAAAGCTGTTCATTCAGCAACTGCCGAATCTACAGTCAAATTTTTAATAAAAATAGTATCACACTGGGGATCATTTAAACAATTCTCATCCGATAGGGGTACACATTTTAAAAATAAATTAGTCGAAGAAGTTACAAAAAACCTAGGTATTAAACAAATATTATCTACTGCCTATTCCCCGGAAACCCAGGGATTCGTAGAAAGGGTTAATGGAGTTTTATGCTATTCATTAAAAAACTATATAAATGACGATAATCAGCATCGATGGTCTTATTTTTTACCATACATAACATTAGCATATAATGCAACTCCTCAAACATCTACAAATTACAGCCCTTTCTTTCTCATGCATGGTTTTGAACCATACTTTCCGATTGACAATAAAATAATACCCGAAGAAATGCCCTATAATATATTTAAGTCATTAAAAGAATTAAATGATATAAGAAATAAAATACCACAAATAGTAAAAAAAGCTCAACAAAAACAAAAAAAATATCACGACAAAAGTCACAGGATAATAAATTTTAATCCAGGAGACAAAGTCTTAGTTAAATTTCCATTTTTACAAGTAGGCAAATCGCCTAAACTAGCACAAAAATATAGAGGACCTTTTAAAATAATAAAAAAAATTACAGAATTAAATTACAAAGTAGAATTAACATTGAATAATAAAACAACTGAAGACATTATTCATGTTAGACGAATCAAACCATATTATCACAGATAGTATAATTACTATATAAACAATCTTTTATTACCGATTACCATTTATTAAAAACAACTTTTCCCTTCATCATTTATAGAAACCATGGATCTGCAAGGCCTATATTATTTATGAGATTATTCCTTCAATATTAACCATCAAAAGGAATTCCAAAACGAATTTAATTACCAAAAAAAAAAAAAAACAATCAAAAACATTGCACATTAAGAAATTTCACAAAAAAAAAAAAAAAAATGATCCTATGTTTATTTATGAATTAAAAATCACAAAGTCCGCTATTATAAAAAAAAAAAAAAAAAAAAAAAAAAAAAAATAGATGATTCTTACTTTAAACTATTAACATAATAGCTTAGATACAAAAATCCACTCATGGTAATATACCCAAATACGTTAAAACAAAAAAAAAAAGGTGCAAAGAAATTAAGTTCTTAAATATAACATATATGTAATAAGAACTATAAAAAAAAAAAAAAAAAAAAAAAAAAATACAAATTCAATTAATTTTTCTCTTCTCCTTGTATTAAACTAATATTTTAATATAGTACAACAACATGAATATATTCAAATCAATTATCTGGATCACCATCTCAACATTATCATATACAAAAGCATTCATTGCATATGATTGCTCAGGCCCAAAACTAAATATCACATCTTTTAACAGTCTACAAATAGACTACTGCGAACAACCACCTCTACCACATTCCAAACAATTACCAAGAATAAAATTATTACAAAGGGCTGAGATAAGAACAATATTTTACAGATCTTGCCTCATATCAGTAGACTATCTTATTACTAGATGCTCAACATTCGACGATTCACAAGTCGTAGAAGGCGGATTCTTCTCGGAAATACTAATTTTAGGAAGTGCAAGATGCGCAGAGCTACACCAAAAGCAAATATACTTATTCCCAACTGGAGGAATAGTAGCAGGCTTAAAAATAAACCAAACAGTAACTGCTACTCACACATTAATCGGAATGTTAGATAAACAAGGAAATTGCGAGGGAGCTTCATATTCATCAGACAGAGGCAGTTGGACAAACGTGGTAGTGCAAAGCAACTATAAGATATATCATACCTTGGCGAAGGAATAGCCAACACCCAAACTAAAGACAATGTACTAATAATGCCAACAGGCACCAGACTAAAACTATCAGAACTATATGGATTAGATACATATAAAGGCGAAGTCATATGGTCAAACGACCAAATACTACAAAGTTGTGACAAAACCGACTTTGATGTACTATATGAAGGACCAGCCTCTTTAATTACAACTGACAAAAAAACAAATCATTTATTCAATGAAATACAAACATATATGGTGGAAACCGAAAATATAGTCTTTGCTCTAAAGAAAATAAAAAAAACATTTACTTGCGACATACCTGTCATTCAAACTGAACACCCTCAATTGTTCATTCTAATTGATCCACAATTTATGAACCATTTCCAAGCAAAACAAATATTACCTCACAACACGGACCTTATGGCTTATGTCAACACAAAGTTTGTTTACATTGAAAATTTTTTAAAAACAACAATGACATCATTATACGCTGATCTGCTCACAAAACAATGTGAACTCGAAAGAAAAATGCTATTACAAAAGTTATCTTTGGCAACATATAGCCTATCAGAATTTGCTTATGCAATGGGAGAAGGTCCAGGATATACCGCAATTAAAACAGGAGAAATAATATATCTCCTAAAATGCAAACCCGTCAATGTAGAAATTAACACATTAACAACTTGTTTCGATGAACTGCCAATAAAATATAACAATCAAACATATTATATGGCACCAAAAACTCATACACTACAAAAATACGGTACCGAAGTAGATTGCAATACCATACTACCACCAGCTTTCCTTCTTGAAGGAGAATGGTTTGGGATTGCTCCTACAATCAGAGAAATAAAAACTCCTATTATCCTAAAACCAGCCACTAAATGGACATGGACCTATAAAAGCCCTGAAAATCTAATGGTTGCTGGAATATACAGTCATGAAATAATGAATGCCCTACAAAAACATTTATTATTTCCCCAAGAGATTGAAGCGGCACAAAAAAACATCGCAAGACAATCATTAGGATATGACTATACTGATCAAGGCCTAAGATTACAAAGCCTCATCGATGAAAACTCCATAGGACTAATGGTAGAAAATAAATTATACAAAATGTGGGGATGGTTCACCTCACTTGGTAATATTATCTCCGGATTGCTGGGAATATTTTTTATTATCAAAATAATACTCAGCATACTAAATACAGGACTTAACATCTCACTTCTCTACCAAACTTTTGGCTGGAGCCTAAAAATGATGGCTGGCATTTTTTCTAACCTCACTCAATTCTTCATGCACAAACAACATGAGAACAATTTCAAAGAAAACAAAAAAAATACCATGGAACAAAAAAATGATTTACAACTACAACACCAACAGAACCAAGATGTCTGGATAAAAACCAAGGATAAAATACCTAAGGAAACAAATGAATGTAAAATTCACTGGTCTCCAGCTGCCAATATTAGGAAAATATCTATCTAACTATTTTAAACAAAACTATTTAACCAATTTTATTTATATTATATAACTAATTAAATCAAACTACTTAACCAATTTATTACATTTATATAACTATTTTAATCAAACTATTTATCCACTTTAAATTTATATAAAAATCTTTATAACAAAATAAATTCTTATAATTTTTATATACTATATTATGAGGACATAATATCAAAAAAAACTAGGTTGGATGTAATGATATTCATAATATAACGAATATCATCATTTCAATTATGTTAATCATAACACACCTATTATTAATATCTAAACACTGTATTTAATACAATATCAAAAATATTCATAATATCAAAATATGTAACTAACCACAACACATCTTTGTACCCCATTATAATAATCAAAATTATACTTATTAATAGTAGTAATATTTATACTTACTTTTAATCAAATGTCATTACTATATCTAATACACTAATATTACGACTTTTATAACAACATATCTGTACCCATGAACTTCAATATTATATAAAATTACTATTAAATCTATTTATTCCTATACATATATATACCATAAGCCATATAAAAAAATATGCGTTAATAAAAACACGCACCTTTTACCTATGTACCTTGATAATAAACGACAATAACATAACAAATCTGTCAACAAGTACCAAGGGTCAATACTATAAGTAGAGCCCTCTTTACATGATACACCCAGTCTGCTAACATCATTCTAGCCTGTCATATACCTTTTACACCGACTTATTGAGTTGATCGCTATATCCTCCATTCACGGATCATTGCTGCTTGGTTGACGGAAATTGTTACTGTTATAATTTCTTACAAATTAAAAACATTAAGTGTTATAAATTAATTTTATTCAATACCTTTTGATTTCAAAAGATCTTTGTAACCTACCATCAATCAACCAACTTCGACACAGTTAAGGTAAGAAATTATATTAATACATCTGATAAATAATAAAATATCAGGTTGTTATAAATAAATATATTCACGACATGCAGACTCAGGCATCCTAGTTGATTTAGATAATCTTAATAAACCTATACACTCACGACCTCTAATTAATCGTAATAATACATGGGATTTAATAAAAAAATAAGATATAAAATTGAGAACGTCGACACTCTTGATTTTATTACTTATAGTTCATTAAAAAAATACTTAACTATTAATATCCCAGCTAACATATTATTATAAGGTAAAGTTTCATCAATAGGAACGCGCAAGCTTATTTTTGATTCATTACAACCCAAATAATTATAAAAACATAAGAAATTAAAATGTTTACATATTTTGTTTTCGGATATTTTTTTCTTCGGTATGTTTTATCGATTTCTTTCAGGTATGGTAAAAAATGTTTTTTATAGTTTTTTTTTTTTTTATATAGTGTCTTTTCCGTTAAAATATAAATTATTAGAATTGTGTTGGTAAGAATATTAAAAATATTAAAATTGTATTAGTATTATTGTATAATATTTTTAATTATTATTATATTCTTATTACACTATACTTTCTTTCCAATACTATTATATAAAAGTATTATATAAATTATAGAATTTTAAAAAAATGTGGTCCTGTGGTCTAAATGGATTATAGATAGTCCTAAGTCTGTTAAAATGGGAAGGTAAATTTTAGTACAACGTAGTACTCACAAAAAAATATTCAGGAACTAGTGTATAAATAAAATAATTCGGAACCCAACTAGTGTAGTAATTTTAAATTCGGGACCCAATTCGGATGCAGTCATAATGCTCTGGTTATGATTTAGGTATGGCAATATTATATGCCGTATTATGAGTTTTAGCAGCAATCTCTGGCGTAATTTGATTTTTACGTTACTTTAAATTTTATAGGGTCATATTTATGACAAAGACAAGAGAGTTAAGTCGATAAATCCAAGCTTAGTTTCCTTGAAGAAAATCTTATAAAGAGGGAAGGGATCCATTTATTTTTATCCATAAGCCATTCAAACTTTGTCCGATAATACCACCATCACATTACTCTTTTCGAATATTTGATTGTGAAATAAATTTTCAAAAATATGTTAAACATACCTAGATAATAATTACGACTTTAAATTTATAATCAACTGCTATTCTTATAATTTGAAGTACTTGGTTGGTAAAAAAAAATACTTGCGAAACTGAAAGAAAAACAACTATATTTTAACATTTTTGGAAAATATTATTAAACTTTCAATATGGTTTTGATTATTTAGATTTATTTGGAATTTGTAAGCAAATTTTTTTTTCTGTTGTTTTTCTAGATCATGTACGTATTTTAGATTAATGTAATACGTTTTTATAGTTAATTAAACACATTTGAAATTAAAACGCACCACATAATAATTTTTAATAATTAAATCAGATAGGTATATTAAAAAATATTTAAAAAAAATCCGGTGAAATATTCGCTATAAATGAAAGTGTTTTTCAATAACTACTTAATCGATATAAAAGGTATGATCAATCAGATTATTATCGCAAATTAATTTTTCGTAAAGTTTGTCGTAGATAAAAAAATAAAAAGAATATTGTTAACGATTAATAATAATTTTTCATGAAACTTAAAAACTTATAGAATAAAACTGTTTAGGCTAAACCTTTCATTTAATTTCAAATTAATTTGCGTACAAAAATTTAAATATTCAACATTTTTACATGTATTTTAAAACAATAAGAGCTCTTCTCTCCAAAACCCCAAAGCGATATAATCATTATTGATGAATTTTCATTTTGAAAAAATCTTCTATAATAATATTATAACACGTTTTTAAAATTGTATGAAACCTTTTTTATTTTGTCATTTTTAAATTTGGGTAGACGTTTAAGTGACTATTTTATCCGGCCACAGAATTTTAGATCTGACAGACTACTGTGAATTCGATCTGAAACTTATGCGTACCTACGTGTCTAACCGTAAACACGATTTATAAACAATACTTTTGAAAAAGTATTAAGATACTAATACTAGTATTCGAATAAAACGTATTAAAAATACTTTTAAAATACTATTATAAAAATGTATTTTACGAATACTCACAAAGTGTTGGAGTACAAATTCAAGTTTTAATTTTATGCTATATAATGTATGTGTATATTGTACACCTGTATAGGTACCTAGTATGTTACTATTTTCCATGGATCTTAACAATTATTATAACATGTCTGACTATTTAGAGATAAATACATTTGTATACTTTTTTATTATTGTTAAATATAGCAGAGTGCAAAATAAATTCGTTTCTCGGTGCCATGATATCAGATCTAAAATTTGAAAGTAACATATCGCATATATTACATATATTTATATATATTTTTGCGTGTTTAATAGATTTTGCAGGAGAGTGCATATTTTAAAATTTTTATGCTTATTTTGCATACTTTGACAAATTTTTCAAATTTAAAATTAAAAACTATAGATACATATTTCAACCGATCGAAAAAAAAATGTATTTAGAGGACTCAATACTTCCAATAATATATTATCTCTCATAACTCGTTATAATTTTTGTTTAAGTATAAATAATACTATAACCCCGTATCGACCGTATAACCCACTGGATATCGATCGGATGTCGATAAAGATAATAGTAGATATAGAATAATAGATTATTTGTTTAGTGTTCAGTTCAGTCGATTATTATCCGTCGTTTTTTTTTGCGTCTTGCAACCACACAACGTCGATTCATACGTAAAACGTCGTACACGTATATTTTGTAAAACAAACTTGGAATAAATGAACAGGTCAATAAAAAATAAAAAATTGGTTACTACATATACTTAGTTTACTTTATAAAATGTGTTAATAAAACAATATACACTAAAAGTTTGTTTAAATATATTTTGAATTTATTAAGCATGTCCTTATGCCCCTCCCTTCTTCAATGTTTAACATCTCGGAAACGGGTTAAGCACAAACGACGGGAATAAAAGCACAAACAAGCACAAACAAAACACAAATGACTGTAAAAATTTTAACTCGAAAGTCCGAGATAGTGGGGGGGCTGAGCATGTCTCCAGCCCCTCCCCCCCCACCTTGAAAGTACGATAACTCGGATACGGATTAAGCACAAACGACGGGAATAAAAGCACAAATAAGCACAAACGAAGCACAAACGACTGTAAAAATTTGAACTTGAAAGTCCGTGGTAGGGGGGCTGGGGACATGTAATGACATGCTAATGAAATCACCTTTAGAGCCACTAGCGCTAGCAAAAATATCACTATAATTTGTAGAACCTGAGTCGCTTGATGTGCATTACCGGCACTTAAACCACATATCCATTATTTTCTCCGTCAATGCCTCTATAACTCTCCTCATAGTCATATAGACTAATAATTTTTATCTTATAATAGACATTTCTATTTTCATTATAATATAATAGACACTTCTATTTTCACATCTTCCAATCCCTGCATTTCTTATACACACAGCTTATTCTTGAGCGCTATAAGCCTAAATTTGTGTGGTAAATTAGAACAAGAACACTGAATAAGTAAGATTTTATCTTATTTTATAGGAGCAATTTTGAAAGGATAAAATAATATTATACACTTTCATAAATTTAATATCTGTAGATAGGTTACCAGGGAATTTAATATTTTTAAAAATGTGTAAACCTCACGATTAGTAAATAGTATATAAAAAAACATAAAATAAATAATATATATCAAGATTAATTAATAATAATCTGTGGTAACCTAGATTTATTTTTCAAAATTATTATTACTATTTCCTAAAACTTGCATTCCATCATCGTAGTTAAGACATGAAAGAGGTAATTCAAACCTGCATTTTAATTATTAAAATTATAATACTACTCTTGAAAAAAAAAATGTAGGATCCAACTAATCATTATTAATTAATGTTAATACAGGATGCGGCAAAGAAACCTCCCTGATTAGTGAAACTTATAAAAACCAAACAAAATCAAATATAAAAAGAATTGTTTTATTTATAAATTTTACTCGTACATGTAATGCCATTTTATTTGAACTATTTTTAAAAATTAAATCACTTAAGTGGTGGCCTTCATTTTCAATATTTTAACTGGACATTCTTCGGTAGTTTTTAATAATCCTACGGATTATTTATAGCGAGATGTCGGCCATTTTCTGGCTAACACTCCTTTAGAAATTCCACAATTTGAGAATAATGTTGGTGCACTTGGCTTTTGAGATTGTCTTTGTGGAAAAAATCGTAAGGGCTCAAATCTTGTGAACGTGGTAACCACATATTGTCACCAAGTGAACTATGGACAAGATAATGTGTGGTTTCAACAAAATGGTACAACCACATACACAGCGCATCGATCGCTCAGCATTCTGTGAGAAAATATTGTTTAGGCATATTATCAAGACTTGACTTAGTGACACTGCGTGAGTACCGCGTTCACCAGATTTTAACCCATATGATTTTTTCCTTTGAGGCTATCTTAAAAGCCATGCGTATCTATATCGTCCCCAATGTGTAGAAGTCCTAAAGGAAATAATAACCCAGAAATTTGTTGCCATCCCGTCTATTAAAAACTATTGAAAAACTATTAATTAATACATAGGTATATTGAAAATGAGAACCGTCACTTAAGTCATGTAATTTTTAAAAATAATTAAAATAAAATGGAACTATATGTAAAATTTATAAATAAAACATTTATTTTTATATTTGACTTGATTTGGTATTATCATAAATTTCACAAATTAGGGAGATTTTTCTTTCCCACCCTGTATTTGATATATTTAATTTATATTTTACATTAATTATTCTAATCATTTTTTTTTTATACATTTTGAATCATTTTGAATTCCTTTCTCCTATTACATTTTTTGTAGTCTTAGATGTCTTAGCAGATACCATAATCGCAGTTATAAACTTATATATTGTACTGATAATACCGGCAAATTCAAAATTATTTATTACAT